TCCCTACAGTCAAACACGGTGGAGGTTCACTGATGTTTTGGGGTTGATTTGCTGCTTCAGCCACTGGATGTCTTGACTGTGTGTATGGCTTTATGAAATCTGAAGACCACCAATGAATTCTGGGGCCCAATGTAGGGCCCAGTGTCAGAAAGCTGGGTCTCTGTCAGAGGTCATGGGTTTTACAGCAGGACAATGACCCAGAGCAGACTTCAGAAAGCACCAAAAATGGTTTCACGCAATGAGCTGGAGACTTCTGAAGTGGCCAGCAATGAGTCCAGATCTAAATCCCATAGAGCAGCTGTGGAGAGATCTCAGAACAGCAGCTGGGAGAAGGAACCCTTCAAACCTGAGAGACCTGGAGCAGCTGGCAAAAGAAGAGTGGTCCAGAATTCCACTAGAGAGGTGGAAGAAACTCACTGATGGTTACAGGAAGTGACAGATTTCAGTTATTTTGTCCAGAGGGTGTGCTACCAAATATTAAAGTCAGGGTGTCAATAATTATGTCCAGTCTATTTTTGGAGTTCTGTGTGGAATGGATCAGATTATGTTTTTTTTTCTGCTTTTTTGTGTTCTAATGCACACAAAAGAAATAAACATGAGAATACCAACGAATTTCTGATTGCCACAGTTTTCTGGGAGAAGTGGTGACAGAAATGCAGGCGTGCTGGTATTTTTGTCCATAACTGTATGCTGCCTTCAAGACAACATCTTTTCCAGGGACGCCCATGTATATTTCAACAAGACAATACAAAACCTTATACTGCAAGTTATACTCTTTTTTCTGCTATATTTGTTCTGTGCTATTGCTTAATCTGTCCACTTCCTCTTACCCACTCCCTCTCCTTTTGTTCACCTGAGCCAGACAAATGATCCTATCAGCCCTGTGAGACCATGTGCTGCTGTGTTCGCTGCTGTTGTGACGTACAGAACATAACTGGTAAAATGTAAAATGCGCTATGTAATGATACTATACCAAAGTGATGAAAAATATAAAATTTAATGCCTGTGAACAGAGTGAGTGGGAATAGGGTCAGTTATTTTAACTCAAGGTACATGCATGCTTCTCTGAAAGGATGAGAACGTGCATCCTAGGCTGTGTACAGAAAGATACTGGATCATTCAATCTAATTAAATTAATGATCAATATTTTACATTAAACTTTAAAACCTGATTAATTACAGTAAGATCCCCAGTCCACAAAACCACATACAACTGCCCCACTGTAGGTCACTTCATTAAAATCTGCTCCCAATTTGGAATTGGCTTGGTAATGCCTTCATAAATACTTTTGAGCAAATACCAAACTAGTACCCTAATTCTTATGTCTCTCTTAAGGCTTCAATATGCTTGTCAGGTGGTGTTTTTCCAACAGCACAGGTCAACCCTGCTGAGCCAAGGTGTTTGTGGCAGAGCTGTTGGAAGGATTTTATCTGCTTTGTCAGGTTCTCTTTTGTCACAACTACATCCATTATTATATGTGTTTGTTTGACAAAGGCCTCAGAGCAAAAGTTAAAGCAACAATATGCAGATTTTGAAAATAGCACTATAGGAGGACACTCTGTCACAAACCACTGTGGCCTGCTCCACTGCGCTCCACCCAGCCCCGCACCTACATCCTTGTTGTGTACACTATCTTAGTTAATGCAGGAACTGGGAGCTTGCAAGCCTGTGAATCAGGCACAATGACGTCTTCCAGCAACCAATAACAGCTTGAAACCACAACAGGAGAGGAGTGACAGACCAGAAACATGTTTATATCTCTTGCCTTTCATTGATTGGTTAGAAGTGTACGCTTCTCTCAAAAACTTTAGAATGGAACCCCTCTCCCCGGCAGGGTAGAACCCTTTGACAGCTCCTCTCCTCATTAAGTTGTTTTGGACCATATTTCAACTAAACATATTAGAAGAAAGTTGCACATGTGGCTTTAAGAGGCCAAAGTCACAACAACAAAAGAACTCTGTAGATCTGAATCAGGCAAATGACTTAGTTAGGTCTGTTTTGAGAAACAGTGTACAGAAGAGGTATAACAAAATAATCACAATCCCTACACACAGCGGATTCCACTACTGAAAAATGATCAATCCTAGCTATTGTACTTGGTGCTAGATGTGTTCATTGAGCATGCAGTTGAACAGATAATCCCAGTCTTGTCTATGGAGAATCCTCTTTGCTCCAACATGTTTTCAGAACCTCACCTTTTGTAACAACTTTATTTAGGTACAGCAAACTGAATTTTTATGCAGGAGCATGTGACCATACTGCAGGGCTCCAGACTAACATTTAATACTGGTGCCAGACCTGGTGGCACCACGTCTGTTGTGTAACATAATACGAAAGAATCTGTGATTTTCAGAAATTTCATGATGGTGGTCATTTGGCTGTTACATTTCAATAAAAGCATAAACCAATGAATTGTGCACATGCTTTGCCATTTGTGTATGATTTATTTGCAGCTTGGTTTTTCTTCTGAAGAAGAATTTCTGTTCTTTGCTTATGTCTGTGTTGGACTTCATGCACAGCTCAGCTCCCTCACTCGTCTAATGCCAGCTCATTTTTGGGCTAAAGTTCTTAGTAGCCTACTACTTAAAGAAGGACATGATGGTGGGTTTCAGCCACTACTAACTTCAAACTAGACGAGAGCAAGGCATATGCAGGACGGAAGTGTTTGATCTATCCAGTCCACACTGACCTCCATTCAGCATCTCCGGTCAGAACAGCTGTCTGTCAGCAGGAGGACAGCACGGTCTTCACCAGGCTGACTGACCGCAGAAATGTACTGGAAGTAAAACCAGAAAGCTCACAGTGACACCAGGAGCCTGATCCATCAGAAGAGATTCAAGTAAAAAGTTTCCAACATAAACAGGCTAACAGGTGACCTCCCTGATTGATCAGCTGTCTGTGGAGATTACACTTCAAATGTGCCAAAAGAAAAAACTGACTCGAATCATAAACAAGGGGTTCAGGGATGACGTGTGTCTTGGAGTCAGTGTGGATTGACACATTTGATAGAATGGAAGTCTCTGCTTCGTGAGATGAGTGAGTGAGAAGACCTGTAGATAAACGTTGCAATGACTACTGCTGGGATTGTTATGTCTGTCCACATTTCTACAGTGAGAGCTGTCGTTCGTGCACAACCTGTTTATTTTGTAGGCTCACCCAGTGCAACCATTGAAAAGAGTCAGTTTCTCCTTAAATAAACTTGATCACAAAATGCGACTGATCACTCACAGTCTAGAGCCCTGGATTGGACACATTTGTTTGTAAGGAGTCGCTAGTCTCCGACCGCAACTTACCCTTCTGTTGTCTGCAGGGCTATGGTAGAACTGGGAGATGACCTGCTTGCTGCCATCCTTGAACTTGGCCCCTGAAAGCTGGAACTGGTCTGTAATGAGCATGAAAGTAGTCCCGTAATCATAGGAAACATAAACCTGGAGACAGAGAAGAGAGAAAGAAGCAATCACTGCCTTGTGGTCCATGACAACTGCAAAACTACCCTGAATGATTTACAAACCCCAATCCCAATGAAGTTGGGACACTGTGTAAAATGTAAATAAAAACAGAATACACTGACTTGCAAATCCTTTTTGATCCATATTTAATTGAATACACCACAAAGACAAGATATTTAATGTTCAGACTGATAAACTTTATTGTGCTTTGCAAATATTCACTCATTTTGAATTTGATGCCTGCAATACGTTCCAAAAGAGCTGGGATAGGGATATTTTTACCACTGTGTTACATCACCTTTCCTTTTAACAACACTTAATAAGCGTTTGGGAACTGAGGACACTAATTGTTCAAGCTTTGTAGGTGGAATTCTTTCCCATTCTTGCTTGATGTGCAACTTCAGTTGTTCAACAGTCCGGGGTCTGCGTTGTCGTATTTTGCGCTTCATAATACGCCACACATTTTCAATGGGAGACAGATCTGGACTGCAGGCAGGCCAGTCTAGTACCTGCACTCTTTTACTATGAAGCCACATTGTGGCTTTGGGTTGTTCCGTGCAAAAAAGCTTAAACTGTTGGACTATTTACTCACGCAGTTGTTCACAAAGTGGTGAACTGCGCCCCATCCTTGCTTGTGAATGACTGAGCCTTTTGGGATGATCATTTTATACCCAATCATGGCGCTCACCTGTTTCCAATAAACTTGTTCACATGTGGAATGTTCCAAACAGGTGTTTTTGAGCATTCCTCAACTTTCCCAGTCTTTTGTTGCCCCTGTCCCAGCTCTTTTGGAACGTGTTGCAGGCATCAAATTCAAAATGAGTGAATATTTGCAAAAAACAAAGTTTATCAGTTTGAATATTAAATATCTTGTCTTTGTGGTGTATTTAATTAAATATAGGTCAAAAAGGATTTGCAAGTCCATGTATTCTGTTTTTATTTATGTTTTACATAATGTCCCAACTTCACTGGAATTGGGGTTTGTATACCACCTTTATGTCAAAATCATGATGTAAAAGCATAATTTCTTAATTGCAAATGCCATTATTTAAATTAAATAACATTAACAGTCCCTTAATAGGTTTAGTAACTGCTGTAGCTGCTCTAATAACACAGGTAAATTTATAAAATATAATCACAATTAAATTATAATATTGGTCAGCAAACTACATACTTTCCTTCAATCTTACAGAACTAATGAAATTACTTCATCATTTCTTGACAAGCAAATATAAGGCCACCTTTTACATGATGAAGTTTGCTTACTTAGTTTAATGGTCAATGGTAATCAAGGTTTTTTTTAGGTTTGCAGCAAGAAAAATTAAAGCATTCAGTTTTTGACCCATCTACCCATATTTAACCATTAAAGAGAGGTTCTGTTTCTGCTCCCTATCTTCAAGACACCTAGAAAGGTCAGTGAAGTATGCAGCAGCCAAGATGGGGGAAGTGGAAAAAGAAAGAAGAGGCATGCAATATTCAGTGACTGTGCTTAGTGCTTTTAGTTAGTTGTACTGAAAAAGCTGATGGATGGCTTAATGTGTGGATCTAATATGTCATCACCAGAAACATGAAAAAACATGTTAAGCAAGTGTGAACACAAACACCTTCTGCTGCATTGCTGATTTATTGAGGTAATTGGGTTACAGGTGAAAAGGGAAATACACCGATCAGGCATAAGATTATGACCAGTGGCAGGTGAAGTGAATAACACTGACTACCTGTTACAGTGGCACCTGTCAGTGTGTGGGGTATATTAGGCACCAAGTGAACATTCAGTCCTCAAAGCTGATGTGTTGGAAGCAGGAAAATGGACAAGTGTAAGGATCTGAGTGACTTTGACAAGGGCCAAACTGCGATGGTGAGATGACTGGGTCAGAGCATCTCCCACACTGCAGGTCTTGGTGGGTGTTGTTGGCCTGCAGTGGTTAGTACCTACCAACAGTGTCTAAGGAAGGACAAATGGTGAACTGGAGACAGGGTCATGGACGCCCACGGCTCACTGATGATGAGGTTGATCTACTGTAGATTAAACTTTTAACTTCCATTTGTACTTTTCAAAAGATTAAAATGTATTTGAATCTTTGTTAAAATGGTTGAAAATGAGAAACACTGTCCCTTGGTCTCTATGAAGAGAAAGAGTCAGGGGCTGTAGTGGTGATATCACACCTAGAGTAGTGAGGCTGTTGGATTGGTCTAAAACATTCTCTCTAACTCATCCTCACGACCACAGTTTCACTCCTTTCACACAAGTTTTTCACTGAATTGTAGCCACATCTGTGCTCTTCCTGACAGTAGAACTGTGGAAGCAAATGGATTCACAGAAGATGCACAGTGAGCTGCAGAGTGACACAAGTGCCAACCAGCTACCACATTGACTCCTATGTAAACAGTATTAGGCAGGTGGTCATCATGTTAGGCCTGATCGGTGTATAAGACTGATAAGATGCCATGAAAACTAGGTGAGGTTATAGCTATACAAGAGTCATGAGCATGCATGTTTTACATTTCATGCAACTACTATGCATAGATGTGTCCACGTGTACTTACTGAGCTGCTTTTAGGCCCAGTGGCACTAGCGCTGTCTCGGGCCAAGGCTACAATGACATTGCTCTTCTCTCCAGCCCAGTGGACCACCATCTGGTTGTGGGAGTCATTCAGGTTAGCCTGCAGGAAAAAAAGACACTGATGAGGCAAATAAATCTGAGGAAACCCTGCACACAAGCTATCTTCAGACTAATGCAAAATTACACTTTGCTGCAGATTAATGGCACTGATCTTGAAAGGAGTGACATGATAAATAGGAAAAATGAAATGACATATCAAAATACTTACAACCATTGTGTTCTAGGTTCTGAACTATTAAATAAAGATACTAATAATAAAAACTAGAAGATGTAGAACTACATCATTCAACATTGTTATTACTGCTGTGAATATGTTTCATAAGAATGACAGTAACAAACCAGCCAAAAGATGAAGACACTTCACCAGACATCAGACTTACTGTATGTCACGACAGTAAAACCAGGCACAGAGTGAAGCTCATTTCACGTCATTCGTTTCTGAAACTAAAAATGCACTAACTTCCTCTTTTCAGATGACCGACTGTCAAAACAAAACTATATCAAAAGATACAGATGAGCAACACTCAAAGATCTGAACCAGTTTTCGAGGCTTTGACCTGATACGACCTCATGCTCAAGAGAATGTTCATAAAACAAGAAAAATCTCATTAAATGACCAAATTAACTTACAAGAAGAAAGGTACATTAGTCAACAATCTATATGCACAGTTAGCAGGGGATTTACCATGTAATGACCTAAAATACCTATAGATATATATCAGTGCATATCTTGTGGACTACAGTCTAACATTTACAGTAATCTGTGCCATTTACTGCCAACAGGAGACTTCTGCTCCAACTTTAGTTGTCAGGGCAGTGGGCTGGCAGCAAGCCTGGGGAGAAGTGCGACCTGAGGGTCAAACTCAAGGAGCAAATGTACTGCTTGCAAACAGCCCATAACCCATGAGATCCACAGATCACACAACTACAAATACTAAACAAAGCAAAGTAAAAAGCCCTCAGGAGAGGCCTATAAGATGAACATAATGTGAACTAGCTAACAACACTATGCTGCAGCACCACAGGAGGTGTGTCGATCAGCACTGGACGTAGATCCTGAAAACTGTTTTACTGCAGAATCAAAGTACTTCACAATACTTGTCGCTTACTTGCTACATTCATTGTCTATTTCCATGTATAGGGTGAGTAATAACTCTCAATAACACATACTAATTCCACTACAGTACACCTCCCATCATATACACACACCATCTCATCTCTGCACTGCTTTCTTTGCCTTTTCTTTTATTGATGATTCTACAGGGGACAGGCCTCTGAAAGGACTCTTTAATTGCCTCAAAGCCTTGTTCTGCCCTTGCCTAGTGGCTCACACTGTAGTAAACAACAAAGACCTTTACTGTCCCTGTCAGCTGCGATCAGACACAACGCTCAATCCAGTACTGCTTTATAACATCTGCTATCACAACATTGACGTAGATGAACACGTCAGCATGAAGAACTGGAGTGTAATAGCATATCCACTGTGAAATATCTCAGCAGTTAGCATAAAGATTTGGAATCAACAATAATCTTACAAGCATACATAAAAAGGCAGTGACACTAATATCTCCACACACAGTGGCCTCACAAATCTACAAATAGGGTAGACTGCAGGACAAAAAAACAGAAAACTCTTCATCACAAAATAACTCCAGAAGAGACTCAAACATCAGAATTATTTCCTTTAGCATGATTTAAGTTATTGCCAGAAAATAGCAACGCTACAATCCTGCAAGACTCGGCTGTATGTCACCAGCAAGACCCAAACACAACCTTTCCTCATGTAACACCCAACAAAGGGATGACTATGAGTTGCTGTCATGAAGCCAACTTGAATGATATACAACTTGCTTTTCTGTCTCTTGCTTTAGCAGTCTGTCCTCTGCACCCCCTCCTCTCCATCCTCCTCATCTCACCTCCCTCAGGGTCGCCTCAGTAAAAGCCAGGGCTGTCTTGCAGTCCCAGTAAATCTGTGCATTTTAGGCCTCATTGGCTGCAGTGCCAGTGGGTCAAAAGATGCCAGTGGTTCTGCAGACTGATACAGCTGAAGAATGATGATGACTGTATAAAATATATTTGCCAGGTTGCAGTGAATTTCAGCAAAAGTTAGCCTGATACTGTGAGAGGTCTAGCTGCTAGCAGCTAGCAGTTGTTAGCCACTATCTGTAAACAGATAGTGGCTCAAAATTTAGTGCCAGCACTAAACATGAGCTATCTCTTCCATAATGAGGAGCACTTGTATGCTGTACCATAAGAGCTCCCTGTTATCTTCCTATGCGACATAACAGCTCTGTTAAAAGTTCAATAAACTGCTACTCCAGCCTGCACAGAACTGGCTTTATGGTTTGGCTAACAACTGTAGACTCAGATTACAGACAGATGCAAACTGATATAAGGTTATGAAATACTATCCAAAACTATCAGTACTACATGCCAGAGAAAGTAGGCAAACTAACATCACAGCAACAGACAGTTAAATGTGGAAAAAAGAAGAGGTGCCATGTCAATTTGCTTTCCAACAAGGTAACATCTGATGACTAACTTGTAAAGTCACACGTAATGACCCACAATGTGGAGAACAATAATTTTATTTGTCAAATTACTGCTGTTACATACAGACACAGCTATACTACACATGCGTACTTTACTGTCAAATGTCTACTACATAAATGTAAATGCAGTAGGCACTGCAGCCTCTCCGCTGTCTAGTAAACATCAGCTCAAACACTACTATGTGGTCATCTAGCCATGTCTACACGTGACGACACCAGTCACTCGTTCTAAAATTCATTCACAACTTTGAATCAATGATTCATAATAGTAGTAGCAAAGCTGTAACTTCTCACTTAACGAGTGTTTTAGAGGGTAAAACATATAGTGACAGAGGCCTCGAGCCTGTTGCTATATAATATATCGTTACATATTATCATGTATTAGAAGAGTTGGATCTCCGAACACAGACAGGAGCTGTTCACAGATGGTCTGTCGTCAACGTTGTCATGTGTTTGTGTGTGTGAGAGAGAGAAATGGGGCAGAACATGGAGAGAATGAGCAAATAGATGCGTTGGGGATAGCACTACGTTTAAAAGCAGAAGAGGCAGCGTTCATAAATATTATATACATACTGTATATAGGCATTTCAAGCTACTGTATCTAAATTATGATAAGGATGACCACCAAAATCCGATCATTTGTTTCGTGGGCCATATCATACTTCTCCAGGAAATATCATGAAAGCCTGTTCATTACTTTTTGAGTGTAGCTGTTAAACAAACGCCGGCAAAACATAACCTTTGCAGGGGTAACAAGGAGGATAATATAACTTCTTTTGCTGGGGTAAAAATATACATGACAAAGGCAGGAGGGCTAATGCAGTTCTAGTGCTGTATGTCAATGAGATTCAATCCTTCTTCTGGAGGCAAACTGTCCAACGTGCTTTCCATCTTTACCTGCTCTGCTACACCTACTAATGACCTTCAGGTTTACTGACTCGCTTATATTGAGCAAATCAAGAGTTGTAATGATTTTTGATTAAAAACACTGCTGTATGACAGTCAGAGTGAATGTATTACAGCCAGTCAATAAGACCTTGAGAGCCAACAGACTGACACAGTGAATTTATCACCATCTTAATGGTCCGTTATTGTCTCTGTGGAAAGAAAGATGTAGGATTTATATCTGCACAGCCACACAATGCTCAAATACAAAAAAAATCTGCTTGTCTAACACATCACACAGGGCAGAAGAACTACAATGTACAGTATTATAACTGAGCCTACAATTGACTTCCAGTCACAATTTTCAGCTTCCATGGTTATGGCTTATGAAGACCCTCTGGTTTATGTTCAGGAATCTTCAGTATTGTGGCTATAAGGCTGATAGTGGTGATCACAGAACTAAGTTATATTGCGCCTTCATCTAGTGTAACAGACTATTTCTGCCCATGTGCAATGGTCAACATGGGCTCTTGCACTCACTGAGCCAACAAAACTGACAAAAAGACTTTTAGAAAACCTTATGTGGCTCTATTAAAACCTGGTTAAACAGTGCTTCCTCTAAGTTCGCCCATTTTGGGTGCAAAAGGGGAACTGCTATCTAATAGTGACTTTATTAGATAGGACCTTCAGCCCTGTGTGAAAAATTGCAGCTCTCTTATTCATTTAAATGAAGCCGGTTCATCGGGACAGTGGGGGTGCCAACAACAAGCATTTTGGCAGAACACTAGATGATTGTCCAGCAAAGGTGAACCTGGCTCAGCTTTTGCAGCAATGCAGTATCATCTGACATTGTGCTCTCCAATCAAATACAGTATATGCAGGCATTCAGTATATTTCTACTGTTGACCTTGCGATCATTGTAGATCGCAGTGAAAGCTTTTCACAGTTGTCTGTGAGTATTTCAAAACGGTCACTCCGGCTGGGCTTCCAGGGTCACATTTCATTGTTATACCAATACCTTAAACAAAATGCCCCCTAACAACAGCAACTGTCCTGAAATGACTTTTGAGACAAAACCTGAGGTCTAATTTCCTGGAGCATTGCTCAACCAGTGTTTGTCTTATTACATCTTACATCTTGCCATGTTCACTCACTTCAGAAAGTCCCTTTACATGCTTAGTTGTGTGACATCCTGAGCAAAGAATCTGTTTCTTTTCATTAACAAGCCCTTAAATGTAGCTGAGAAATTGGCTGCATTCTTTATTTGTGCTTGGATCCAAATGAAAAGAACTTGGTCTTGTCAAGCTGCAGAGGTTTCAGCTGGGTGTCTGACAACAGCTAAAAGATATCTTTACCAGTTACACAAGCCTCAGTTAATGTATTGATTATTTAGAGCGGGACCAGTGTGATTTATAGTCCCACCCAAAGTTTCTGCAGTGTTTATTATTCACAAAGCTGGTAATTGCCATAGAAACTTGTACATGAAAAGCCTAATACAAACCTAGATGTAACATAGCAAACCGGCCTCTTGTAGCATTAGTCATCCAGACAAGCCAGATATACTGTATCTCATCAGAGTATTAGCAATGTAAGTGAAATTTAG